TCTACAGCCCTGATCTTTGCCACAAAGTATCCCGCTTCGGCAGAATAGGGGATGTTCTCACTGTTAACGGAGCCGTCCTCAGAATATGGTGTGAGAATCGTGGGACTGTTGTCATTTTGATCCAGGATTAAAACGTTGACAGTCACGTTGCTGCTGAGCGGAGGAACACCAGAGTCTGTGGCCTGAACTTTAAACTGGAATGTTTTTAACTCCTCATAGTTAAAAGACTGCAGGCTGATTATATCTCCTGTCTCCGAGTTGATATTAATCATTGTAGATAACAGCAGCTGGTTATTGCCAATTTTTAACAATGAATAGCTGATTTGGCTATTTTGGTCTATGTCTGCATCAGTTGCAGTCACTCTTTTAATGACTGCTCCCACTGGACTGTTCTCATTCACATAAACATTAATTACAGCCTCCGTGAACAGAGGTGCATTATCATTGACATCAGAAACGTGTATGGAAACTACACTTGTGCTGGTAAGTGGTGGAATCCCTTTGTCATTAGCGATTATATTGACATTGTAAATAGAGAATTTCTCCCTGTCCAGAGGTCCATCAACTAACAGCGAATAATAATTTTTGTAGTTAGTTTCGAGTTTGAATGGCGCTTTGTTTTTAATTTGAATCTCCACATCACCGTTTTTTCCACCGTCTTTATCGAGGACAGATACAAGTGCAACTGCGGTGCCTACAGGAGCATCCTCTTTTACCTTCCTATGTAATGACGTCACCGTGATCTCAGGAGCATTATCATTTAAGTCCACCACTTCTACCAGCACTTTACAGTGAGCGGACATCGGAGGATGCCCTTTATCACTGGCCACAACACGTACCTCAAAAGCCCTCCTCTCTTCAAAGTCTATTTTCCCTTTGACCTTAATGACACCAGTCTGAGGTTCAATTTCAAATATATCAAGTACGTGATCTTGGTCTTTGCTTCTCAGCGAATATACAATGTCACTGTTTAAACCCTCATCTGCATCAGTGGCGTTCACTGTGATTACCTTTAACCCCAGTGGAATGTTTTCTGGAATTTTTGTTTTATACAAGGATTCACTAAAGATCGGAATATTATCATTATTGTCTAATACATTAATAACGAGTTGCGAGGTGCCGGATTTCGGTGGGGTCCCTCCATCTACAGCTGTCAGTGTCATAGTGATGACTGCCTGCTTTTCTCGGTCTAAGGCTTTCTGCAGCACCAACTCAGCAGACACACGGTCACCTGCTTTGTGCACGGCCAACGAAAATTTTTCATTTTGGCTTAATTTGTAAGTGCTTACTCCGTTTTTCCCCATATCCGCATCAGTTGCTTCGGATAATTCAAATTTCACTCCAGGCAATGTGCTCTCTGCAATATATAAATTTTGCAGTTTGGTTGTAAACAAAGGAGCATTGTCGTTTACATCTAAGATCTCTACATCAATACGATAAAGCTTCAATGGGTTATTTATTATGGCTTCTACACTTACTGGACATTTTAGTTCCTCCGAGCAGAGCTCCTCTCTGTCTATTCTCTCACTGACATACAGAACACCAGTCTTTAGATTTACCTCGAAAAATTTTCTCTTTGATCCAGTAACGATTTGAAACATACGAGATTCCAACTCTTGTGAATTCAGGTTTAGATCCTTAGCGATATTCCCAACAGGAGTCCCCGGGTTTACCTCCTCTGAGATTGAATATGAGAGCTGCCCAGCCACAGTCTGCCAGTAAACATCCAGTAGAAAAAGGCACAAATACATCCCAAAATAGCTCAATTTAAAGGGCGACATCTCTGTTCAATATGAACAAAGCATAAATTTGAGCTCCAGTGGCATTCAGATATTTAGGAAAGAATGGACGATCAGGGAGCTTTTTGACTGTAGTATTCTGTTTGTTCCACCGTCGTTTGAGTCTTATAACAAAGACAGAAATCGTTCATATCGCTTGTAAACGGGAGGGGCCAAGTTCTATTAAAGAGCAGGGCTGTAACTAATGGATCAACAGCGACGCCACGTGGTGAAAAGAGCGCAATGCAGAGGCCAGTGAAAACAGTGCTTCTCCTGCAGCCATCAGGTCACACCAAAGGTATCTGAAAAGCTTAACATCAGAAATCGGAACAACTCTTCTCTGCACCATGGACAACACCTGAATGAGTGTCCTTGTAGAAAGTGATAGTATCAAATACATCATATCCCACGTTACTCTACCTTTTTCCACTAAACCTCTTTGTTCCATTCAATTTAAGAGTTATTTGTAGATTCTATTAACTACTAATGTGAGCTTAATAAACGGATAAAAAGTTGGAGGCTGCCTGAAATTTTTAGCATTCAGCCATGCCTATATAGCAATGTGTGAATTGCACCACAAGTTTTATCATGTCTACAAATTTGTATGTATTTTTTCCCTAAGAGTGTGTAAAAACAAACAAACAAACAAACAAGCAAGCAAACAAACAACAACAGTAAAAAACAAACAAAAAAAACCCCTCCCTAAACCATAAAAAAATAGTACAGTTTCTTCTTCTGCACCCACATCAATGGCTTCTTTATTTATCTTTTAATGAAATTTTCTCTTTCAGCCTTTTAGGCAATAAATATATTTAATCGTACCTAGTTATTCTTCTGCACATATGAGCACAGGAGGGGGTGTCTGCTTCTCGTGTTGTATTTTTGGTGCATTTTAGTATTACTCCACATTTCCACAGAGACAGTAGTCATGAGCTTGTTTGTAATCCCATGATTAAGCCCTAGATTCAGAAACTCCTGCCCTATTTCCATTCCTCAGAAAACACGATTTGATTTGAAAATATTATCCCACAACTACAATCATCTGTCAGCCCCCACAGACAATATTAATAATAATAATGGCTCACATAGGATGATCTGTGTGTTCATTTTCCTAATGCATGTAATAGAAAACAGTAGGTAAAGTATAGAAGAGAGAGTATAGTGCTCTTGTGGTTTATTAGCATACACAAGCAAATGCATAAATTTCCACCATCGCAATTATGCAACCCGTTATGAAATTCAATTATTCATGGTTTATTTTAGGGCCAGACTACACTACTTTGACTTTACAGGACTTCAGTCTGGATTATCATTCTCCTAAAGTCACCATGAAACACATATGAATGTTCCATAAATTTCACACTTGGTATTCTTTGCTGCCCAGTGAGAGGATGAACACTTTTTTTTCTTATTCTAAACAAACAATACATTTTTAAAAGAAACAAATCCATGGTTTCTGTAATTATGGAAAACCTAGTTCCACATAGATGAAACACAGTATATTAGCCAGCAGCTCTGAATACACCCCGGAATTAGTGGTGGGTTACTGAGCATATCCATAAGGCCATCCACACCTCTTTATCCAGTGATAGAGTTAATTAGGGAAACATGCAGAATGTTTAGTTCATCAAAACATAGTTGTTTAAACAGTAATGCAAAAATAACAATTGATTTTTAACACATATACACCTAGACCAACCTTAACCAAACAAAATCAACCAAAAGCAAGTTTAAACAGATAAGTTTTTAACTGCTTTTTAAAAGAAATGACTGAGTCCACAGTTCTCAAACTCAAAGGGAGTGAGTTCCAGAGTCTGGTCGCCACTGATACATACACTCTGTCACCTTTTGTTTTTAACCGTGTATGCTGGACAACCAACAAGCCCTGGTCACAAGACCTCAGGGACCCGCTGGGGCGATAACGAAGAAGAAGATCACTGATGTAAGTTGGAGCTACACCATGCAGGTCCCTATAGGTCATGATTATAATCTTTAAATGGACCCTGAACTTGACAGGGAGCCATTGCAGTTGAATCAGCAGGGGAGTGGCATGGGAGCATTTGGGATACTTTGTCAGAAGCCTAGCAGCAGCATTTTGAACACCCTGCAGTCATTCCAGGAAGGCATTACTTAAGCAAGTAAACAAGGAATTACAATAATCTAAATGAGATGAAACAAAAGCATAAATAATCATTTCCAATTCGAAGTGTGACACAATGGGACTAAGCTTAGCAATATTTCTTAAATGGTAAAAACAAGAGCGAACCAAACATTTAACGTGCGTGTGCAGCGTCAGAGCTGGTTCCTAATGGAGGGTTTAATATAAGAAGCAAGAGGGACTAGATTTTAACCACGAGGGGAACAAATTTCTCAGGAGCAAAGACAATGACTTCAGTTTTATCAGTATTTAGTTGAAGATAATTATCAGCCATCCAATCTCTGCTGGAATCTAAGCAGGACTGCAAGATTTGAAGCTTAGAAACATCAGGTGGCCTAAAAGAGATATAAAGCTGAATATCATCTGCATTACAATGATACGAAATATTCGGAAAAGAGCTAAGAAGTTGAAGAAGAGGGACTAAATACAACAGAAACAGTAACGGTCCCAAGACAGAATGCTGTGGCACCCCATAGGCGAGAGAGGTGTGCGTTTGTTTTTAAAACCGATGCATGCATGCATTGATAAAAGTCATTCTTCCTCTGGGTATAATAATTGAAACTTCTGAATAATTAATAGTGATTAAACTGTTGTATAGAAAAATTTACATTATTTGCTACCTAAAATATGAGAGCTGTTAAAAATAAGTCTAGTGGTTAAGTACACATGTACTTAACCTTCTTCTCTGTCTGTTGTTTGCCCATAACACGATAATGTTAGAGGTGAAACTAGAATCGCCACTGGCAGTGTGATGAAAGGGTCAGATAAAGCAGTGAGAGGTAGGTGAAGGGAGGGGGTTGCAGGGGCGGAAGCAGTCAGCAGCACTGCTTTAGGTGTGTTCACTGCATTATTAAAGGGATACTACCACATACAGTACAGCCACCACATTAGCTTCTATATTGCCTGCATGTAATCATCTCATGCCTTCACACAGCCATCGGTTTTGTGTGCGTGTTTATGAGTAAGTGTGTGTGTGTCCTAAGGATGTATACTGTACTGTTGATCTGTGTGCGTGAGTAGATAGGGGAAGGGTGTGATCTAAACATGCTTCTAAGCGAGTCCTACCCCCACTTTTCCTCTCTCCCTCTGCACAGCTCTCATCTCCATAGCAACGCCATCTTGGGCACAGGCATGAATGCATATGTGAACACACACACACACACACACACACACACACACACACACACACACACACACA